GCGCTCCAACCCCGCCGCAGGCAGTGGCGAGCGGAAGCGGGCCTCCCCGTTACCGTATTTGGTGGCACCGTCCCCGAGGTGCTGCGCGGTACGGTACGGAAGCGCTGGCCGGAGTCTGGCTGAGCCGAGGGAAGCCGCCGGGCAAGCCCGGCCGAGCTGAGAGCAGGAGCCCAGACCCCAGCCCACTGGGTGCAAGCAAAAAAATTTTTCCTTAATTTCTCACCAGCTGCAGGGATTACATTGCCAAACGTGGCTACATTTTCCTTCAACTCTCATCAAGCTGCGTCTGGGGAGAGTTAATAAACGCTCTCAGATCCCTTATAGTTTACACCAGCAGCAGCTTCAAAGCTCTCTCCTTGCCGAGATGTAAACCCATTTCACCTCAGTCAGTACTCAGCATGCTAAAGCACGTCTGTAAAGCAAGCAGTGCATTTTCCCACGCTTCCTGAGGCTCATTTAAGCAGCAATTCTTAATCATTTTAGTGACACAGCAAGTCTGAGATCTGTTTACATCTGCAACTCTTAACCTCAAGCCTGCAGCTTCTCAGAAGTAGCAGCAGCTTCACAGTTATGCACAATGAAGTCTGCAACTCCACAGGCATCTTTTCCTGTAGTGCAGACTTACCACTGCATGTTATATTGCTTATAACATGCATTTCCTATATTATAAACGTTATTTGCACATATTATTACACTTACATGCTTATATTGCATTTCTCCACAATTCTATCTATTCGTTGTGTTCTTAGTAGCTTCTTAGAAATCAACTGATTATCAAGCATAACCATTTCAGATCAGACAGTATTTCATGCAACATTTTATTGTAAAAATAATAGATGAGTTTTACAGTTCAAACCTCTGTCATGTTAACCACATTTTACCACTGTGTTCCATCCTGAATGAAGCTGTACTTCAAAAATTATGACAAGAAAATCTGGTCTAACTGTAGATTCAGAAATTAATTGTTACTGGAACCATTAAATGACACCAACAAATGCAGCAAAAGCTGGAGTAAAGGTATTGCTTGGTACTTTTATTCACATGCATGCAGTAGTCAGTTTTTAAATAGCACTCCAGACAACTAAGGCTATGCTAACCAGAAAAGTACTCTGAACTAATGCTAGTTGAACAACTCTTCAAGATAGAAATGTCAACATTTAATGGCTGGACACTTATGAATGATCTTCTAGGCTCTTCTGCTTCATTGGTGCACTCTGTCTTCTCCATACAGGCAGCTCATTTTGCTCCTGCCTGCAAAGACTTCCTTTCATTAGCCGCTTTTTGTTTTTGCTGCATAATTTCAGAGTCTCTGTGAAGAAGAAAAAAAAGCTGGATTTCAGATACTGGCTCACTGTTTTTCTAACTAGAGTCTCCTCCAGCTTGTTTTTGCCCTTAAGCAACCCCCATTTAAAGAAGGGAAAAAGATTAGTATAAAACTTCTTACTTAGCCATGAGCACATGGCTCAAGGTTTCTATTACCCTGCTTTTTTTGGGTACAGTACACAATTAGAGTAGACAAGTTACCTGATCAGTAGACCTTAGGTAATTATTTTAGTTTTAGAAGTAAAGGACACAATGGATCAAACATCTTCAAGAAGCATTACACATTATTTTCCTGTTTGCAAAAAGCTGCTCAAAAGAAATAAAAGCTTTACAGGTCTTACCAAAATATAAATATTTAAATTCAAAATATAAATCTGTTTAACATCAGTTACAGTAAAACCTATATCCATCATTTATGCTCTGGCACACGAATGGACCGTGAATCAAAGCAAAGTACTTAAATGCTGCTTCAGCTAAGATACTGGATTCTTTCAGACCCGCTTTTCGCTACCATTTTCCCCAACCATTTGTCTCAACTGTACTAGATCTTACCTCTGTTTTCTCTGAGAAGCAGACAAGCTATCCTCTTTCCTCTTCCCTTTGTGGATCTCCTGAGTCTTCTTCAGGTTCTTTTGGCGGGCAAGTTCACGCTGGTTCCCACCTGTAAGGTAATACACAGTTTATACAGGTACAGCCACTTTTTACACACACAGTTTGCCTCTGTAGAAGTTTATTATAAAGGTGACTCAATCTGTAGAATTGGTATGGCAGTATCTTCTGTAGTTAGCAGTATCTTCCACCACAGTCTCCCCCTCCAGTGCACAACAGAAAGCATGAAAGCCTGCTGGTTCTCACATTTACATATCTACAGGTTATGTCCAAGACATCACCAAAATCCATTCCAACATTCCTTCCAGAAATGCAATGCACTTTTTCCCGTAGAAGACTGAAGGCAGACCATCCCATCAATAGCCCAGGCAAAATGATCAGAGTAACTCATCCAAAGAGGAGCCATTCTCTCTATTTCAAACAGATTCCAGCATCCAATATGGCTTATAAATTAATTTTAGACTGAAAGAACAGCATTAAAATGAGGGCATCCTGAGAGAGTTTATAAGCTTCCTCAAACCTTCCCAAGACCCTCTAAGAAACCAAAAAGCAAATGGCTGTAATTATGTAGAATCCACAAATATCTACATGCTTTCAGTCTGTAGTGCTGTCACACGAAACCACTGACGGATTCCATCACATCCCATGCTCAAGTACCACGAACTTTTTAAGTCTGGCTTATACTTAGTAATAGCAGTTAGGGGCCTCACAAGTATTTGTAGAAAGAATACACCTCAAAGATGATCAGTACACTTACTACATATGGAAACTTTGGCTTTACTTTTTTTCTGGATAAAGTCCCCAACACCACTTAACACAGGATTCATAATGTATTATTGGGGACACATATCCCAGGTGCTCCGCTAGCGCTATCAAATCCTACGGTTCCCTTACTCTGGGAACCAAGAAAGCAGAGAAGACCACTCAGTATACAAGCATCTGTATGTAGGTTTAATTTCATTTTTGCTCCAAGGCAGCTGACACGTATGCAGTTTGAGGCTACAGCAGCTATGGAGCTTCAGCCCGAGATTCTGTTTCTACTACATACCACAGAGCACCTTGCAAAAGAAGTGGGGCTGACAAAACTGAAGTTAATACATAACCAAAACTCCAGTTCCCCATCAAGAAACGTTGGTCAGAATAAAATGACTTGCCACTTTCCCGAAATAGGTGCATGCATATGTCCCTGTACAGGGTAGACAACTCTAATGATGTTCACGCACGAGAGTATTTTCATGTTATTGAAGGAATCAGCAAACAAGCATTCAGGAAGGTTCCTTCCTTGCACTACTACGAGCTTCTGTTCATAGTCTTCTTTCCTGAGCACGCTTTTTAAATTTCATTGTAAACCAACATCTGTATTTTTCAATCTTCCCCACTTTATGAGGTTCTCTGTGTAGGTGTTCCCTTAAGTTGGCAGCAAGGGCACAGTTATAGTTGTTCTACCTACTCTGCTTGTGATTGACTGTCAGTCCATTCAATTAATTACACTCAAAAACTATTAAAGATGTGACCCCAAAAGATTTTTTTATCTGAAATCAAGCACAGCACTTAGGCACGGCCTGAGCAAGTGCTTATCCTCACTCCAATAAAAGTGAGAAGAGTAACATTATATATAAAGACACAAAACCACATCACAGTTGCCAATATAGAGGACACCTCTTCAGGGGACAGACAGCTTTCCCAGGACTACCAACCAACCCCCTGAACTGCTGGCAATTCAGACATGTAATCTTTTTGATCAGATAACATTCCTGAGAGCATGACATCAAAACCAGCACAACACAATTGCTGCTCAGAGCAGATGCAACACTCCATCCAAATACTTAGGGTCTTCCAGGCAATGGCCACAGTCACCACACTTACAAACTCTTCTGCATTAGCTAACAATCTTTCCTTAGCATCCACCTCCTTATAGCAGTTCTATTCTGCTCTAAGCTGCCACAGCTGGACTGTCCTCTTGCCTTTCCAAACCACGACACTTGCCCTGCTTCTTTTGGACTCAAAGTGTTCAGATAGACGAGGCATAATCACTTGTGCTGTTGAACAAACACAATCATAATTTTCTATGCTCAAAAATGAAAGCTGCATCTCCCCATAATTTCTGTTATGCCTCTTTTCAGTCTTTCTCCAGTCTTAAGACTACCTACCTATGCAGTGTTTCAATCTTGAAGACAGAGATCTCTCCAATCTTCAGATGCCTATAATTTCAGGTATATGGAAGCAGTTTAGGACTAGGTCCATTTTAAACAGCAACTTCTTGATGTGATCGACAGCTTTGTACTCACTCAGTTTCTCAAGCCAACAAATAGACAAGAGCAACCCTGCAGAAACAGAGGTTCGGTGCATTCTTCACACAAGCACACAAGTCTGGCAAGAGATGCAAAAAGCCCGAAGGAAAACAGTGTGTCATGACTGCTGCTTCCTCAGGGCTCCTCCTGCCTTGGAAGATACACTTCATCTGTAACAGAACATCAAGTGCTACCTGTTGAAAAAGCTAAGAGAACTCCTGCTCCATCCTCCTTATTAGCATTCAGTGAGATCCTGTCACCAAAGTCCCTGTAGAAGAAGAGCCACTATTTGTCCACAAACTGAAGCAAAACAGCTATTTCTGGCAGTATTGGTGCTCATTAGAACTTCATGACTCATGAGCAGATGATACATTCCAGGCTATAAATGGTTCTTGAGTTTTGTGGTGCTCAAGAGGCATGAAAGTCACATGAACAAGCTAGCATCAATCAAACAGCTCTCCTGTGGTGCTGAAAGAAACAAAGTATCTTCTTTTATCAGCAAGAGAAAGAGGCAGGAAATCAAAATAGACTGGTATAGTCAGAATTCATATTGCAGTTATGCTTAACATTATACACACTTCCCTCCTTTCCAAGCAAACATTGCACAGGGTGTCTGCAGAGCAGTTCCACACACGAGAAGACCGTAAACTTCAGAACCAAACTGAACAGCATCACTAGAAAATTTGGCTGCCACTTCTGCACAGCAAAGCAGAGCAGCTAGAAAAGTACAGTAATACAGTACACACACAAGGCACACAGAGCACAACTATCTGAAAAGAAACTTTCTTGTACCCTCCCTGCTTCCAAGTAAACACTGCTAAGGACTGTTTGGCCCCAGTACTTCACCTGGGATGTTGAATGGGCATCCCTAGCTCCAAGGGAGATGGTGCTGTTTTCTTCAGTAACATCAACCTAAATCTTCCATGAAGTGTGGTCGAGTCCTGACAGAAGACAATTCAGCTTCCAGTAATGTCAAACTGAAGCATGCACTGCCTCATAAAGGCCAGTACACCCTTTCTGCTTAAACCTATGGCCAAGAATCCCCATCCTTGCCTGCCTTTGCAAGGCATATGGCCTTAGTTCAACCTGTCCCTGCTCTTCCAGCTCTGAGATCCAGCTAGTCTTGAAAAGAAAGGTAAGCAAAAGACTTCTGAATAGCACTGGAACAAGCAGTAATCATCTCTACTGTAAGGAGGTCAAAGGGAATGGCAGTAAGGATTGGCGACTGAGGTCATCATCCCTGGAGTTCCTTCTGAGCAGCAAAGGATCTAATCACATGTCAGAACTTAAAGCAGAAGAAAAGTGCCTGCCACCATGTCCCAAGAACAGAATGCAAAAGTAAACATAGCAGGTTTGATGTACGCATAAAGCAACAATGTAAGACAAGTGACACCAAAACCTCTCATCCATCTAGTCATCACTATCTTCACAAATTTATTCAGTTTTCAAGTACCCTGAAATTTGGCAGTGCAACAAGTACAACTAATTTATGAGCTCTGAGACACAGTAAATTGTTGCTAATAAGCAACCCGCTCTACTCTGTTTTACTGTATATCCATTTGAAATCCCAGGGACTAGTCCAGGTCTAATTGATAACAAAGTGCTGAACTCTGGAAACATGTACTAAAGCTAGGACTAGCCTGTACGGTAGCACACCACAACTTCTACACCTCTAATTTGAGATACTGTATTTAACTAGGTCATCCTAAAATGAAATGTTATGATTCTGCTATGCTCAGGTGTGAGATGCTGTTCCCCTTTTTTAACCTTGAACTATGTCTGTTTTAGCATCATGCAGAACTGGGGGGGGGAAAGGGGGAGGGAAACAAGAAAAGCCATAAACCTGCCTCTTCCTCACATTCACGGCTTGATCTGTGCACAAACTATTTATGATCCAGGTCTTCATCTGCACTTCCAGCAATACAGTGGTTTCAAAGGTATGTATTTTTTGAAGTGTGAATGTGAAAGCATCTCCTCAATTAAACACAGACAGTTTCTATATCGCCAAGTATAATACACAGAAGCCAAAACAGCAACCCTGCCAGTTAGGTGAGTCAGAGTATTCTAGGTTTGGTTCACAGTGAGTCAGAGTATTCTAGGTTTGGTTCACAGCTCTCCCCCATTTTAGATACACAAACGCTACTTTTGAATAAGGTGAGTAGCAAGTCTTGTTGCCTTTTCAACGACCACCTTAACAACCACCATTTAAGCAACGCAGTATTAAGTATCCTGCAGTGATATAAAAGCCCTTTATTTACAGACTGGGCGGTAGCCAGGACTGCAACTGAGCGTCACTG